ACCAAGTATTGCGTATTCGAACCTATCACAATCACGAAAGACGTTGTCGAAGCAAATATTTCAGAACGACTTCTAAATATTAATGCCAGTACCGTTGAGCTACTTCAATTACACTGGCAATTTGTAAGTGAACGGTTCTTGATAATTTTATAGGAGACTGATCCGCCGCCAGTATGATGATCTACAATATGTTAAAATGGCACAACTTGTAAAACAAGATACTCGGGTTTTGAACGTTGGTCTGTGTAATTTCGACACTCAGCGCATGAATGAAGTGGTGGAAAGTGGCGTACAGATTGTATCCAACCAAGTACAGGTAAGTGAAAAGGCAGCATGGATTCTGCGAGATGCTGCTAAGAGAGATATGTAGTTCTCCCTCATTGATCTTCGACCCACATTCAAAATGGCAGAGAGTTGTTTAAATAATAATATCAAACTTTTAACATATGGTTCTTTAGTAAGACTCTCGTACAATGAGCGACGAAATTGTCTGACCTGCGTATAGTGTGGTGGATTCCTTGCCGAGAAGTGGCTTAACAAATCAGCACCAAACATGTTCGCAGAAGATATGACACCAAGTCACAGAAAGGCACGATAATTCTGTAATTTCATTAGACTAATTGCTAATACTTTTTTCTTAAGTACTTCGAAATGATCACCGTTTGGGGAGGCTGGGGCCTCCTGCAACAACTTCTCGGCGTCCTCTTCGAGATCGGACAGAAGTATAATGTTTCTGTCTCTAATGTAGCCACAAGATGGGTTTTGGATCATGAATATGTAGGAGCTGTTATCATTGGTGGCAGAATGGGGATTAGTGAACACGTTGATGAGAACCTGAAAGTCTTCTCTTTCAAAATTGATGAGGAGGATAAAGCAAAAATAACAGTAATATTGGAACAGAGCAGAGCGCAGGATATGTTTGATGCAATTGGTGATTGTGGCGCTGAGTATAGATAGCCTTACAATACTAAAATAAGTATGATCGTAGTTAATTTTTCATGTGTAGATTATGACGGAATGTGGTGCAGTGAAAAAGAATGAACATATACATGGATCATAAGGCCTGGATTATCGGCTACAGGGCTCTCGGTGGTAGTGGTGGTCGTAGTGCAGGGTTTCGGCCACAGAGGTTATTAGCATAAGATTGGGTGCAGAATCCTCAGTGGTTTCAATGGCATTGCCAGGTATAATGGCATCGTTAGTAGAAGTAGCATTGGCAAGAGGAGACGCGACAGTTCGTGCGGAGTGTTGATATAACCTAATCAAGTTAGAAAGTTCTAATCTATGGAGCAGAATGCATGCAAACCGTCCCCACTGCCTCTGCCTCTATGTCACCGAGGATAATAGTTAGGTGTTCTAAGAGGGGGAAGGATTCGAATAGGTCACTTAGAACCTCTGGCGGGTCGAACAACTCCATTCGTCCAGGGCTACTAGTTATCTTATATGACCAGCGGATCTAGGTTTGTGGGGTCCTAGCGTTTAATAGTGAAGTGAAGAAAGAAATAGAGATTTCTAGTTCCCGATACAACGCCCTTTTTACGTACAACTGCCAACATGCCAGTGCTGAGATCTACTCCATCAAGGACAAATTTCTCAGCAAGAAATTACTGAGCTAGAGACGCCTACGAGACCAGTGCCGCAACCAGTATCAGATCTTCAGCTTATCAGAAGAGGTTGATGATATATTGCTAATGACAGTCTCCACGCAGCGCCGGGGAGAAGCGCAGCTTGCTGTGTTGTTTTCTGTGTCGTAAACACCAGCCCATTCATCATACAGACTTTGCGCCTTCGAGCTCCCGGCTAGAGCGTATGCGCGCTAGAGGTATTGATCAGTGCGTGAGGCAGTGGCGGTGGATGGGACATTTTGAATGCAGTGGTAAGCGAAGTGCTTTATTCAAAGCTATCGTTAACCCATCTTAATATTGTTAAGATGACCTGTGCTTTCTTGCTCTTCTGCCATGGAGATCGACTGCTTGTTCTAGTCCTTAAGAGGAAGTGTGTAGCACCACTTATCACATGCTCAAATGAGACGACCGACAAAAGCCGGGCCCCAGTAAAAACGTTCGGCCCAGGAGACTTAGTCGGATCCTTACGGACTAGTATTCAGAGCTTCCAACTAAACGAGGATGATTAATCTGGTTATTCTGAACTGAGGCGGGGTCGAACGACTTCAGTAGATGACTACTAGCGTGTTACGACGCTATGCTCCTGGGAATATCCGGTTTACCATACAAAACAAGGGGGAACAGGTACCCAATGAATTAGCCCGTCTCCATGCGGTAGTGGTATTTTACATTCCGCTCAGTTTGACAGGTACGCTAATCTTAAGCTTCATGACTAGGATGGCAGCTTGAAAAGCTCGCAATTGTTATTTCAGCTCTCTTCGTTGCCTGTTTCTAAAACATTCGAGATGAGTAATACCGAGTTAGTGACCGTCCCGCTACCTCAGCCAGTCACAACTCCTTCAGCCTTTGAGGGCCGTGAAAGATCATCACCACGACCGCAGGATGCAGAGGGCGAGCCAACGAATGGCAGGCGAACAGAACAAGGGCTTGCGCCCATAGATGGAGGATCTGCTGCTTGGAGGCTGCTCTGCGCTGCCTTCATTTTTGAGACATTGCTATGGGGTAAACTCCTATCATGGATCGAATTTCATAGATGAGGCTGATAGAAATTGAATATAGGCTTCCCCCTCTCTTTTGGTGTCTTTCAAGAATACTACTCCAAAATTCCAGAATTTGCCAACAATCGCTATATTTCCGTTGTAGGTACCATAGCATCCGGATTGGGTTATATCGGAGCACCAGTCGTCATGCCTTTTATTCATCGGTATCAGCGGTGGCGGCGGCAGATGATTTGGGTCGGCTGTACATCCCATAACTTACTAGGATGTCGAGACATAAATTGCTAACCTATCTCTTAGGGCTGATTTGCATTGCCGGACTCGTCTTGGGGTCTTTGGCATCCACTTTAGAAGTGCTTGTCCTTACACAAGGTGTGACTTATGGTCTTGGGTTCCTCATATTATACTACCCCATCCTCAGCATGGTAAATGAATACTGGATCGCGCGTCGTGGCATGGCTTACGGTGTTCTTTGCGGTGCGTCCGGTGTCTCAGGGTGCGTTATTCCATTCGTGCTGCAAGCACTTTTGGGAAAGTACGGATACAAAACGACGCTTCGCGCTGTGGCTGTGGCTCTCGCGTCGCTTACGGGTCCGGTAATTCCTCTCTTGAAGGGTCGTTTGCCGCCCTCAGAGCGAGCTAGTATCCCCAAAATTAACTGGACGTTTTTTCGGAGTCCTCTATTCTGGGTATACTCGGTTTCAAACCTATTGCAAGGATTTGGGTATTTTTTCCCTTCTTTGTACCTACCCTCTTATGCATCGTCCCTAGGGCTCGGCGGCAAGAGCGGCGCACTTCTCCTCGCGCTGATGAGCGTTTGTCAAGTCGGTGGTCAGTTTGTCTTCGGTCTGCTATCTGATCACAAAGTACCACTTAACATTTTGGCTTGCCTGTCAACCATAGTTGCAGCAATTGCTTGTCTGACTATGTGGAGACTAGCTAAGTCGCTCCCAGTCTTAATTGTCTTTGCCATGGTGTACGGGTTCTTTGGTGCAGGGTTTACTGCCATATGGGCGAGGATGAGCACCGCCGTAACCAACGATGTGACAGCAGGACCAATTGTCTTCAGCTTGCTTAACCTCGGTAAAGGTATCGGAAATGTGCTTGCCGGACCTGTTGGAGGGGTTCTAGTTTCCAGCTCAAAGTCTACCGGAACTCCATCATCGTTGTCCTATCGTTGGGTCATCGTCTTTACCGGAGTGTGCATGTTTGCGAGCGCTTGTACTATCTGCTTGCGATATTTGAAGTACCTTAGCATTTTGGTTGTTCGATAAGAGCGGGGAAGTGGCAAGCAGCATAACGTTTGACATTGGCTACGTGTTACAAGCCGAGACATTGCTGGAAAAGTTGATATTCTTAGTGTTCTTCGTTACTATAGGTAAATGTTGTAGCATCACATCTCTATGGGAAGACAGACAATGCTATGAATTCTTCAACACTACCTAGGTGTGAGGAAGGCTGTGAATAAAATGTAATTATGGCTATGAAAAGTTAAGTGATGGCACAACAGGCGAAAGAACTCATCAAAAGTTGTGGTACTTTGTCTATACGAAGTCTGAAAAGCAGGCTTCTTCTGAACAAATATCTTCAGCTTCCCCCAGAAAGGATGATACCTGTGGTAAAACAAAGTCGCCAGCTGGAGTTGATTAAGGTCGCTGTCGATGCCTTGTCGTCGTCTTCTCGAAGGCGTCGCGAGGGAGTGGCTGACGTGTTCAGAATAGAGGATCCTGCGAGCGAAATGGGTATATCAGACAGAACGTCTATAGTGATATTGTTATTCATAAACGTTTTGTTTAACAGTTATAAGCTCGGCCGCGTTGTACGCACTTCCAATAAAAGAAGATTGCACGTCTCCAAAACACGTTTTACAGATCAAGCTTCTGCGTTCTCTTACTCTTCGCCGACTATTTTGTACGCCTTGGGTATTGCTTTCATTTCAGGGGTGGATACACCAAGCTGGAGAAACAGCGCCGTCGTCTTGTTCGTTATCATGGCATTGGTCCTCAGCATGCTCTGGCAAATCACATTGGTATGTACTCCCTACTTCTGTAAGACTGAACAACAGAGACATATCATACATCTTCACCACAGAAACTCCACCAAGCAAGAGTGAGAACTCATACATGATATAATCGCAGCCCATCTGCCTGTAGTGAATAAAGCTATCCCATATGTAACGCAAAGTGACTGCTACAGGATTCACGGCACAGGGCCCGCCAGTCGTAGTCAATGGCGTTGTGCATGTTGTGCTTTAGATAGTCAGGCCCGGCTACTGTGACTCAACTACAGAACAAATACATTCGCCTTTCTAAAAAGCGAGTCCCTCTTTCTTACAATATTTATCAAGTTAGGCAAACAGGATCTTCAACAAACTCAAGTTCGGTTAGTCTAGTGGTCAAGACGTTCGTTTGTGGTCTACGCAAAACACGAAAGATCGACAGTTCAATCCTGTCACCGGACATTTCACCTTTTGCCCACCGCCTTTAGATGGATCACCACTCACCCTTTCACTTAAGCGCAATGTAGATCATTCATGAGTACTGAATCTTGTTGAAAAATTATGTGTTGAGATTTTTGCTTCCGTTTGTCGCCGACTTAATTTTAGCTCTATGCTTGGTGTTCAACATGCATCAGGAGAATAAACAAAGTATGCAAAGGGTAGAAATAAGTGGAGAATATACAGATATAGTACATTAGAATAAAATCCCTCAGCTTTGGTTCAGCTCCTTGTAGTCTGGGAGGTCCCAATCCTTCACACCTTCCTTGAGTATCCATTTTCCAAGGTTAAAATTGAAGCGCGAGACTACTCCCAGTAGAATATTGATGACGGCAATGCCAAATGCCGATGATGGGTAGACTGAACCACTCTCCAGAACCCCCTTCTGTACTTGGTCCATAAAGGGTCGAAATTTCTCTTCATAAGCCTTGAAGGCGGTTGTAAGTCCGTCCTTATTGTCTCCTCCACTGGCAAGGCCTCCGCAGTGTTTCCCAATCTCGCCAGCTAAGATATAAGCGCCCACCATGCTGGATGTAGTACCCATTCCAGTATTTGCTGAAGGACAATATGCTGCATCACCAACGAGTACCACTCGGCCGCGAGACCAAGAGTCCAACTTAATAAGGCCCATGCGCTCGCAATAGAAGTCGCCTGCATCCATCATGTCCTTCACGATGTCTGGTATCTGCCATCCGGCACCTGCGAAGATCTCTGCCAAAGCGGCCTTTTCCTCCTTCATATCTCCCGGGCGAGCCTTTTTCAGCCGCTCCGAGGCGGACGTGCAACCGAGGTATACCTGGAGGCTGTCTGGATTGCTCCTTCGCGTCATCACTCCCCGTCTACCGGGTGCCATGTACGATGTTGCAATATATTGGTCTCCTTTTTGGAGAGGCCGAGGAATGGTGAAATAAGCTACGTACACGGCACTTTCGCCACTTTTAACCGGATAGAATTTGTCTGCAGTGCCAGATCCGAGCATTAGCTTCCGTGTGCGTGATCCCACTCCATCAGCACCGACCCACAGATCAAAATGATTCGTCTTTCCATCCGCAAAGCGAATCTCAACTGCGCTATCCTTCTCCTCGAAACTTTCGACCGACGTCCCAAAGATATACTTGGTTCGATCTTTGGTGGCGTCGTATATTAGACGGCACAGATCACCTCTCATGATCTCGAATTCGGTGGTGAAGTTCTGCGGACCCTTCCCCGACTTGTTCGCTGGGAAGAAAGCTCGTCGCGTGTTTGAGCTATCGACTATTTGAATACCCTGCTCAGGGGCAGACTTGGAACGAAAAGCCTGCTCGAGACCCATGCGCTTCATCACTTCAATCCCGTGGCCACGTAGATCCAATTGAAGGCCAGTCACTCGTAGGCTGGAGAACCGCTCGACGACAGTTACGTCGTGGCCTAGCTTTGAGAGCCAGAAGGCAAGGGCATTTCCAGCCACACCTCCACCGCTAATAAGGACCTTCAATGGTACCATGATTTATCTGGAGTTGGCTTGCTTGGTTGTCACAAGCATATTTGACAAAATGTTGGATCCAAACGGGAAGGGACTGAAATTGGGACTGATTTGGACTGCTTCAGCACAAAAGAAGCCCCGGAAAATCAATGTCAATTTATAAAGTCTACTGTGGAAGGTATGAGTCGCATAAATGGTGCATTTGACCTTCAACTCCGGCCAAGACGTATCGGCCGAGAGACTGTAGTGCCGTCGATTGTCCGAAGCAGCACCCGACAGCGTAGCCATTGAATGAAGCATGGTATTGCAATTACCGATTCACATCTTTCAATTCCATAAGTCCGTTAATCCCGTGAATGGCTCGGAGTTATGCCTCTGTTCAACAGCCAAGTTGAGGCTCTGCCAGGCGGCCAAACCTACAAACGGCGACCTTGTTGGACCCCAATAATCATGAGCTAATTGTCCTATTAAAACGCAATTCTAATTGGTAGATGTGATGGGTTAAACAGCCTTTGGAAGGAATGATAGACGAAGCAACGCTAGTAAACTAGGGACCGCTCAAACCGTAACTATCATATAGCGGCGAAATATTACTCTCCACGAGATAATTTGCTCCAAATTCTGTTTCATGGACATGCCCTACTGGTAACTGTGCTGGATAGGCTTTACATCCCAATAATCAATAAGATGACGGTTGGCATAAATATGTCTCTTCAATTCTCTTACTGCCAGTGTGCTACAGAAGCACAATCATCTAAAAACCTCTGGGCTCGGAACACCAAAAACATCTCAAAATATATTTGTAAAGATAATGATCTTAGAACAAGTCTAGGGAGTCGCGTGAAGGATAATGATCAACGAGGCGGTTATTATCACCAAAATAACGTCTCCTAGCAGCCTTCACGGCTTCTATCCCTTCCTCACCCTCACTATCTGGCTCATATTCGATTCGCATCCCGCTTAGGTCCCTGGCTTCACCTATGCAATGAAGTAGCCCGTCTGGTACGATAACTCTGGATGGTAGAAACGTGTGCTTTAACTTCTTGATCTCTGTCGGTGAGACAACATGTGTCATTCTCTTCTCAGCCTGGGCATACCATTCTGAATCATCACCAACCATTTGATCGTATACCTGGTCAATGTCCAGTTGGTTAATGTAATCATGTATCCTTCGAGTTGCGGCTTTGATTTCGGGCATTTTCCAACGTGGTAAATCTTTTTGGACATTACTAAATGCTTTTCTCGCAGCTTCAGCAGCCCATGCCGTACGTTTTGCAAGGATACTTCCGTTTGATGGCTCGATGAACCGGATGTGTTCAGGAAAAGCGAACTGAAGCTCTCCACGATGGTCGGCGCCGGCAATTCTTCGATAAGGATAGACCACAATTGTCAATGTTTCCAAGTTAGGAAATTCAGCCCAAACTCTAGGCGGTGCGCTTGCAAAAACGTTGAAATCAACGGCAACATGCCGTATCTTTAACAAAGCTTCTAATTCCTCTCGAACGGTGTCTAAAAGTGGTCGAGTTGTGTTAAGCCTTATCATAAGGTCAACCAGGACCTTGAATTGATCCCAGGAAGAGCCAAAGAAGTAGAAGACGTCGTACAGGATATTAACATATACCTGTATCTCGTAATCATCGCCGTCGTTAGACTCGGATGAGTAGGCATAGCTGTCGGGTAGGTCGTGGTAAGTAGACCCACGAAAGAGTGGTAGCTGAGTGTATATACCTTGAGTAACTCGTTGGGAATTGATACAAATCTGCTGTGTAACAGGAACTTTATATATCTCGTGGTATTTGGATGTTGTCTTGCGTATCCTGCTGGAGCCATCAATTCGAGCCCCTTGAGGGTTAAAACAACGTCCTACAACTCGCTTATCATATTCCATGCTTGTAATGATGTGAACTTGAGGATCATCGACCCGAGCGGCCATTGACCATATCCTCATCTGTATCTCGACTGGAAGCAGTTGAAATTTTGTAAATGTATATGCAGGAACTATTGACTCTCGCGTCTTATCAATACCACTGTGCTATTCATGGTCAATACTCCGTCCTTTTCCATCACAAGATTGCAGAATGGAACATACCAACAATTGATGAGCAATCGGTAGCATCAGGTTCTTGAAAAAAGAATTCTCCCTTTCAATGAAAGCCTCTTGCTGCCGTACAATATCGTTTTTGAATTCTTCTCGGCGCGCTTCGAAGAGCAATCTCAAGCGTTCCTGCTTGCGAAACATATCGAGTTCGAGATAATCATCCTTGGTGAAATGCATACCATCTTCTCCAGCACTCCCGTCTTCTTTAATTTTGCCAACTATGCCAGTGCCATGCGCATCCTCCTCGAAGGCTTTACGGCGAGTCGCTTCCTCCTGACGCTCGCGGCTCAGTTCGCTATGTGTGACCTCATCGTCGTCCTCATCTTCGTTATCAGAGCCATAGTACCACCCAGCCCATGGCAGATCTAGATATGACCAAATATTCGACCTAGTAATTCTATAATGCAAGTTGAATATCCGTTCGGGGAATTGGAAGGACATGACGTCCAACTGATGTTCCTTACAGTTACTCGGATAAATTGAGGCGGACCCGGGATAATCTACTAGCTACATTTCGGGTATGAATTCCTAAACGGCAAGATTTGTTACACAGGGTAATTCTGGGTGAAATTGAAGGACATAAAGACTGCAATAGTATTTATAAGCTTAAATCCCATGTATTTTCATTCCATATCTATTTTGAAGACCGCCTGGCCGTATTTTGAGTGGTGAGAGTAACAAACGCCTTGAAAATGCCTAGCAAATGGTAAATTCCAGCCTTCAATATGCTCCAAAATGTCAGGGTATCATGCAAGCCAACCATATAGCATCCAACCTCATTATTCACACCCTGAAAATGCCGCTATTATCCTCTTATCAGCTAGATTCCGATCCATAGCAGCAAACTAGTTCACACATTCCCAATAGTCCACAGCTCAACGCCGAGGACATCGAATTTCTCTCCCTCATCGCTCAGCGGCTCGTTCCCAAATGTCAAGCAGTGACTTGATATTCCACGCTCGAATGCATCGTCTAGCCATAACCCGTATCGTCCGTCCCCTCCACCAACACTCAAGAATCCAGTATCACATAGCATCATATAGTCATTTACTCCCGAATATGGGAATGCTTTGAAGCGAATCCTTTCTGGCGTGGAGACCCCGCTGGGCAAGGCGGGTGAAAGCAATTGCCCGGGCGTCCCTATAGTGGTGCTCCTTTGCTGATTGGGCGTTGACATAGAAGGGGGCGGCGGTAGGTTTGGTGTGGAGGGGGAAACAATCGATGCCCGCCAAAGGAAACATTCACCAGTGCCAAAATAATGTGCGCTGGGATGAGGCGCTTCTGTCAAATATGCACCAAATATCCCTCCCTCTCCGTCCTTGACTACTAGCACAAATCCGTTCCGCACACCCCGTAATTCTTCACACTTTTTATATAGAGTCCCAAGACTGACCCCATCTTGTT